CAAATAAAATCCCTGTTAAACTTCTCAGATGCATTCAAATGACTTGTTAAATTCAGCATCGGAACAAAACTCAGAAATTCATCTGATCTGCACATTTGAGAAGCTGCAAACTGGGAATAGTTTTTAAAAAATGAGTAAAATGATTCATCAATTATCAGAAGAGAGTTTTTAGTTTCTTCTGTAGCCACAGTTCACAGAACACAAAGCTCACGTGCTGGTTTTGGTGTCACTGTGTCGTCAAACCTGTTTGGCAGCAATTACCATTAAAGTGTAAAGTGTGACCTCCTGTAACACCTGCTTCATTAGTGAGAGTGAACGTGAGCCATTCAGCGTAAGTGGCTCTAATTCAGCGTCTACTCGTCACCTCGTCTCCTCCTCAAAATGATCCGACGTGCAGGCCGAGCTGGCAGCGGTGAAAACCAAACACCGTGCCTCCTCGTCCTCGTCGCTGCCGCTCTCCATCTGTCTCTGCTGCTAAAACACGATGAGGCGCTTTAACTCGGAAGCAGCTGCCGTTTGAGGCGAAAGATAAAAATGTGACTTTGTTTTTCACTGAAGCAGCATCAGAGCAGACAGTGAGTGCTCGCTCTTTGTATCAGGTGTGTCTGTAAGTTATCTGATCGGGGTCAACCACCTCCTGCTGGGTATCAGATGACTGGGTCCTCTGTCTCCCTCCGTCTCTTTGACCTGTCGTCCATCTGTTTCTCCGTCAGACGCCCAGGTGTCTCTTGTCGTGAGCATCTCCTCCAGGACTGAGGAGCGGCCGCTCGCCCTCAGGCAGCTGCAGCGGTTGATCCTCAGAGAGAGTGAATCATTGTCTGTGGGTGTGTGAGGCGTTCAGGACCAGCAGGTTTCAGGTTAATCTTGACGGACTCGGCTCTTAAACGTCACCACAGACAAGAAAAGATCCAGAAGGTTCCAGCTTCTGACGTGCAGACGTTTCCTCTCCCGTTACCTTCAAGTCAAAAAGCTTGATGTTCTCTGACGGCTGCAGCGTATTTTCATTATCGATTAATCTGATTCTTCTGGTTTTTAAAATGTCAGACAACAGTCGCTGTCAGTTTCCCAGAAGTCACAGCGACACAGTCTTTACATCACTTGTTTTGTCCAGAACCTGAAATAAACCAGAAGTTTCACCCCCCCCCCCTCAAAGTGTGACGTTTGAGGAAGTGACATCACTGTAAATCTAACCACGCTGTCTCTCCTTCACCCTCAGGTTGAATTCTCGTACCCTCCGCTGATGCCGGACGAGGGTCACGACAGTAACCTGGTTCCCGAGGAGTGGAAATACCTGCCGTTCCTCGCTCTGCCTGACGGGGCGCACAACTACCAGGAAGGTACGTGTCCTCTTCGTTTTAAATCAATAATGCAAAAATCCAACAGTGTCCAGTGTTTGTTTCAATATTTTACACATTTGTTTATTGGGAAAATACATAATTGAATAGTTATGGAGGATACAGTCTTTCATTTGTCACTTCTGTTTAAGTACGTTGATTCTGTCACAGTATCAGAAACTGTATCCGGGCGGTAAAGTGAGAACAGGACTGAGCGTCGGTGACACTGATCCGACTCCGTCTTCTTGTCCCGTGTGTCGTGGCTGTGGTCACGTGACACGTGGCGCTCCCGTGCTTCGCCACCATCGTTCATTCTGTCGCAGCGAAGGCAACCAACAGGAAGTTAAACTCAAAGTTCAGCTCTGGATTCAAAACTACAACCATCAGCAACAGCTGTTACTGTGCTGGTGACATATTTAACTGGTGATGAACGAGGACAGCTCAGGGTGTCGCAGGAAAACAAATCTTATTTCAGACGTTCTCTTTTCTCTGACACAGTTTTAATACATTTATTTCTGCACAAAAACAACTTGACCACATGCAAGTGTGTCAGTTTGAATTAAGCTATGCACATTCAAATTTACTAAGGTTTTTTATTTTGTGTTTGGACACAATGAGACATTTGCATTATCACAGTAGAGCAGCAGCAGCAGCAGCAGCAGCAGCAGCAGCAGCAGCAGCAGCAGCAGCAGCAGCAGCAGCGTTGTTCAGTGACTCCTGTGTAAAGTGTGAAGAGAGTCTGGAGCTGTTCGTTGGCTCGTCGCAGGAGTTCTGGTCGATGCACTGCAGCTGTGGCCTCCGTCCAGATGCCCCGCTGCAAGCCCCCCACCCCCCCCACCCCTGCCTCCGCCTCCTCTCTCGACTCCGGTTAATCTGCAGCCGTCTCTCCATCCTGCTCTCGTCTCATCAGAGCTGGACTTATTTCTTCATCCTGTGATTTTACTGCTATAAACAGACCATACTTGGATTCCTGGGCTTCAACAACCACGAAATTCTGCGACGACACAGTTTCAAATCAGTTCCCAACCTTCCACACTCGGATCGTGTCTCGTGACAGCATGAAGTGAACTGCTGACTGCAGATTAAGTGTTTTTAAAAAGCTCCAAAATGTGCGAGTCGGTGACCAGGGTAGCGTTTCATTCAGGAATGAGATCAGTGAAGTCCTTGAATGCACCACAATGTATCAGTCCACGTTCAGTAACGTTTGGCTTCCTGTTGCAGGTTCATCCAGTTTGTCTGCAGTTTTTAAAACCAGGTCAGGCTGTAAAACGATCACTTCAGTGTCTCATATGAGACTGAACGTTCGTCTGCAGCGTGAGAGCAGCGAACGCAGCTGCACTCACACATGAAGAAGATGCGTTCAATGTAACTGTTAACCGTTAAACTGCGTTTCCTCCCTCGGTTAATTTTTCCCTCTCAGGTGACACATGTCGTAAAAACCAGCTGGAACATTATATGACGGTGTTTATCCTGATGTTTTACAGACACTGTGTATTTCCACCTGCCGCCGCTCACTGGAGACATGAAGTGTGTGTACGGAGTTTCCTGTTATCGTCAAATAGAAGCAAAGGTCAGTCCGTGTAAATTCTCTCTTTATTCCTCTTGAGCCACGAAGCTGTGAATTTGGTTCTGAGGCCAAAAGTTTGTTGAAGAAGCACTCGATATCTGAGCTACAGTAAAAATACACGAAAGTATGCATTTCAGAATCATGTATACAACATGATGAGGTTGTGAAGATTCATTTAATCTACTTTAACACATCATAGTTTCTTCTTATTATTATAAGACTTATTATATTTTTTATTAGAAATCACTTATTTTGCTCTGAACTACAGTGAAGAAGAAGGTTTGGTGTTAAAGGATGTTTTAATCCCCCATCAGGCCCTGAAGGTGCGGCAGGCTGACGTCACCAGGGAGACGGTTCAGAAGAGCGTCTGCGTCCTGAGTCGAGTGGTGAGTCACCTGATTTCAGTCTTAGTGGTTTTTTACGAGCTGGAACAAAATGAGATCAAGAGTCGAATAACTGGGCTGTGAAATATTGTCGTGATCTCTGTGCCACGAGAAGGAAAATGAGCTGGAGCTCAGCTTTTATTATCTTCTCCTCCAGAAATAAACTCAGCGAGGATTTAAAACTCCTCAGATGTCGTAATCAAGCTCTGATGACAAGAACATTTATCAGAGGTTTGATATTTTATGGTTTAACCGTAAGATCTTATTTAAATAATTATAAATAAAAAGGGGCTGCAGGAAAAATTAGCATCTGACTCAGACTTTTGTGTTCTCACATCCGGAAAACTTCAGGAAAATCCCCAGAGTTCAGTGCAGGTCTGAAAACCGAAGTTGCATGTTGACAGACTCTGTTGTTATTTCCAGCCTCTCTACGGCCTCCTCCAAGCAAAGCTGCAGCTCATCACACACGCCTACTTTGAGGAGAAAGACTTTTCACAGATCTCCATCCTGCAGGTGAGAAGCTGTTTATGTTCGTTCGTGTTCTTCTTCTCTCGTTGTCGTCCTCCGCTCACGTCCCCTCTCCTGCAGGAACTCTACGACCACATGAACGGCTCCTTGAAGGGATCCACTCTGGAGGGGTCGCAGGTTTATTTAGGTCGGTGAAACTTTATTCATTTAAACAAACTTTCTGGTGAACAAGTTTCTGTTTGTTTTGTTCTTCGGTCTTTTTTGCTGATGATTGAAATTCTTCCGAACAGACCACATTTGTTGTGGTTGTGTCTCTTCAGCTCTTTAACTGCACAAAAATGTTCATGCATTTTTCTCTCAGGGAAAATTCCACATGAGTTGAAGGTTTGTTTTTCTCCTCAGGATTATCGCCCAGAGATCTCATACTGCACTTTCAACACAAGGTAGAAGAGAACATGTGTTTCCTGATCTCATTTGTTTTGTGAAGTAAGTTTATATTTTATGTTTCTATCACGTAAGTTAACATCTTTATTTCACATCTTAGGTTCTCATCCTCTTCAAACTCATTCTGCTGGAGAAGAAGGTACAAACAAACGCTTTATGTCCACGTTTACATTCCGTCACTACTTTTTTGGAAAATGATTGATTTTTTTATTTTTGTGGTGAATGTTTTTCAGGTTCTGTTCTACGTGTCTCCCGTCAACAGACTAGTCGGAGCCCTCATGACGGTTTTGTCGCTGTTTCCAGGTCAGTAGAGAACAAAGTAGAAGAAGAGTTTTTAAATTGAATCCTCATGTGCAGATGATATAAAAAGGTTTAGACACAAAACAGACTTAAAGGCCTTGAAATGATCTCAATGTTTTATCATTAATGTTAATGAAAGAGAAAAATGAACACACCCTTCCACCAAGTTTTAGAATATCACGTATTCTGCAAACAGACATTTAAATTTACAAGATACAGATTTTATTTGGACTCTGAGAGTTGAGTTTGTTTTAAAGGTCAAGAAAAAGGTTTTCTAAGTTAATGAAACTCCGACAGCTCATGTTCATGTCTCGTTGTTGTTGTGCAGGTATGATCGAACACGGCCTGGTGGACTCGTCCCACTACAAACCCAAGAGCAGCGTGTCGGAGGACCTGAGCCTGGTGGAGAGCTTCTCCGGAGCCGAGGAGTTCGTCTCTGTGTCCGTCACCGACATCGCCAGCACCGCCCTGGAGCTGGTGGGGGAGGACACCGCCCAGCCTGCCCCAGAGTCTCTGTCGTCCGGCAACAGCACAGAGGGGGACAACCACCTCCTCAAACCCCCGTCACGCACCTCGCCAGACTCCTCGGAGAGCGACTGGGAGACCCTGGACCCAAGCGTGTTAGAGGAAGTTGGCGCCAAAGAGGCAATGGAGGGGAAAGAGACGGGGTCAGAGCTGCCGGACGCATTTGACTCCCAACCGGGGACGCCCATCACTGTGCAGCCGCAGGCGGTCACCGGTCAGGGAGGGGTCACCCAGGGCCTGGTGTCCGGTCTGGAGGAGGATCAGTACGGCCTGCCGCTCGCCGTCTTCACGAAGGTAACCGCAGCGTCTCCGCTCAGCCGCTGAATCACCGAGCGAAACCCCGCGTTTGTGTTTAAGGTCCAAACAGGAAATGAGTTTGATATTTACTCAAACATCGTCTCCTGTCACTCGCCTTGTGCTGATGAGACCAGGCAGCCGGGCGGAGACAAGCACCTGACCTTCCCTCCTGTTGTTGTTGCCAGGGTTACCTGTGTCTGCCCTACATGGCCCTGCAGCAGCACCACCTCCTGTCAGACGTGACGGTGCGAGGCTTTGTTGCCGGGGCGACCAACATCCTCTTCCGCCAGCAGAGGCACCTGAGTGACGCGGTTGTCGACGTGAGTCCTGCGCATCGTCACCGCTTCATTCGCGTTCGATTTGGCGGTGGAAATTTGCAGCTTTAACTTTCAGGCTCCTCTCTCCGCAGGTGGAAGAGGCTCGAATCCAGATCCAGGACCCTGAGCTGCGGAAGATCCTGAGTTTGACGACGGCCGACCTGCGCTTCGCCGACTACCTCGTCAAACACGTGACGGAGAACCGCGACGACGTCTTCTTGGACGGGACAGGCTGGGAAGGCGGAGACGAGTGGATCAGAGCCCAGTTCACGCTCTACCTGCACTCGTTACTGTCGTCTGCAATACAGACAGGTCGGCCCCTGTCATTCACTCATTCACTCAATATCTTCCCCTCTTATCTCTTCACTCTGGTTTCTATTTGTCTCCTCCTTGTTTGGTTGAACTGACTCTACATTATTAGAGTCGTGGTGACGGCAGCTCTAATCACCATTATCACACATAATTACCCCGCGGAGAAAACGACAGGAAGTCCAGTTCCGCCGCTGATCTGCTTCTCTTTTGTTTCCTCGCGTCGTCGCTGCTCAGATAACGAGAGGCTGCTGGCCGATTACGGCGCTCCCTTCATCACAGCGTGGAAGATCACCCACAACTACCGGGTGTGGTACAGCAACAAGCACCCCGCCATGACCGCCATCACCCCCGGGTACGTGGACGGGAATCAAACAGGATTTATTGTCTCTCAGGAAAAGTTTTTACAATCAATGACGTGGGATTTTATGTGGAAATATTTTTGATAGTTCATATAAAATGTATTTCGCTTTAAAAATCATTTTTTTATTTTAAGAAAAGAAATTCACATGATGACAATTATCAAAATGTGTTTAAAAGTACGTAATCTCAAATATGAATTTCTGCGTTATGATATTTATGATGATTAAGATTACACACATTAGTGTCTGTGTTTCTAAATAATATTATTCCCATAGAAGTGACGTTGGTCTTTCCTCTCTGTTGCAGTCACCCGTTCCAGGGTCAGTACAGTGTCACCGACGTGAAGCTGCGACTCTCACAGTGAGTATTATTATTATTATTATTTCATCTCTCTTCCAAACAGCTTCACTGTCCACTGTCGTTTAAATCTGCACAAAACGTCAACAACAACACGTGAAACATGAAAAACGCACGAGAGGAGCGAAGAGAACAGAACCGTGACGCCTTCATTCTCACACTCAAAGCATGAGGCTGCCCCCCTCTGGTGAGAAGGCGATACAGCAGTATACATGACCTCAATACTTGGAATGAAACGTTCACCATCAAAATGTCGATGCTGCTTTAAAAATGAAAAATATAACAACCTTTGATTCAGGAGCGTTTTATCATTATATAATATTGAAGCTCACGTTCAAACATTAATGATCCAGAAGAGGACTCATACGTCCATCGAGACACTTCTCACAGATTCTTATTTGGAAGTTACACAAATCCATAAATATCAGTCCTCTAAACGTGACTGGTTTTATTTTGTCATCCGCTCTGCTCTACATCACGGCGATATGACGTCATTTCCCTCGATTGGTGATTCACGGAAACCTGCAGAACTGAAAATTAGAAAAGAAAAATGAACAAGAATGTGAATTAAATGGGTAAAATTCACAATCAGACGGCTGCAGCCTCGTGAAATACTGGGCGTTACAGGCAGTGTCTCACTTCTCGCTGTGTTTGTGGTCAGATATAGCAGCGCAGCGGTCAGCGGGGGGGGGGGCAGCGAGGGTCTCATATCAACCACAGTCATTAATTATGGACCAGTTTCATTCTCAAAAACAGAGCTGGAGACGTCTGCAGCCTCGGCTCCGCTTTCATTCCAGGAAGTGTGGATGAAAGTCGACTCTGTCCACAGCTGGAGCGTCGCT